TTATCATCGGTAGCCATGTTTTCACGATCGCGTCTCGCTTAATAATGACATGAGACATCTTTGTTTCAGTTTATTTAGGAGAGTACATGTGTGTAAATGCAATGATAAAGAGAGGTAGTCATATATGTCTCAATCAACATGTGCATACGGATTGAAACTTGAATTGACACCATCGGACAGAACTTTCCGGTAGACCTAATAATTCTGTGATTTTGCAGTCTTTGGTGATCTTGAATGATCTTCCATAGTACCATTCTGAAATCGTCTCGGTCGCGGCTATCGCACCGTAGTAAAAACAAATAATATTCCGTTTAAAAAAAATAAACATCGATGTCCATGAAATTTCGTTAAAAAAATGACCCTGGAAAAAATTCTACTTCATCGTTGCCATGGATAATGACATGAGACATCTTTGTTTCAGTTTATTTAGGAGAGTACATGTGTGTAAATGCAATGATAAAGAGAGATAGTCATATATGTCTCAATCAACATGTGCATACGGATTGAAACTTGAAGTGACACTATCGGACAGAACTTTCCGGTACACCTAATACGTCGACTGTGTTGCAAGCAATGAATATTTGATGAACGATTACAAATGAACGCGTCGGCAGACGACTACAAAAGTGGGGCCATTGATTTTTCGCGGGCCCGCGCGGTCTTCTTGTCGCGGGACCGCGGCTACGTACTTTTGTGCTCCAACGGGAAAATGAAGATCGAGTTCATTACAAATGGCCTGGGCCGAATTATTCAAATTTTTATTATGATTAGCCTGGAAATTATGCTGGTCACGATCTTCCCAAAGCACGGTTTCCCGTGGACGCCGGCGAAACTACCACTTTCCTTATTTTCAATTCAGCTTTTCCAAATTTAGAAACGCGCGTGACGCCGGGCTCGGTTGAAAAACAAATTTATTAACAAATTAAAACAAATTCGTTCATTTCTTTTTCGCTGTAACTGTGATGTAATTTCTATTTTTTATTATTTATGACAGAGAATCCTTGTTACTGATACTCTAATAATCTTGACCCTGTTGACCCTGTCTTTGGTGATCTTGAATGACCTTCCATAGTACCATTCTGAAATCGTCTCGGTCGCGGCTGTCGCACCGTAGTAAAAACAAACAGTATTCCGTTTTAAAAAAAAGAAACATCGATGTCCATGAAATTTCGTTAAAAAAATGACCCTGGAAAAAATTCTATTTCATCGTTGCCTTGGATAGTATTCGAGGTGGACAAAGATTTTGGCCCACCCTGTATATCGACGCAATGTTCCCAAAGTACCGTGCTTATAGAAGTTTCGGCTGTGCACTCTGCGATCTACAGGATAGAACGGAGGCTGTAATTAGTAATTGTTAATTACCCGAAACTCGACGTTTCGCATCCGCCGTTACCGATCCCGCAGCGATCTTCCTTCAACGGATCGAATCCTGGGGATCTTCTTCCTTGACGGACAATCCGACGGAATCCGTGCGCGAAACGAGTCGAACTTCCGAGAGCCGTTTCTTGGCTGCACTCGACGAACGTCCGCCGCTAATTGGCCGCGGCGCGGCGGCGCGCCGCTATCGGAAAAAGTTGTTCGACGAGCTTCCCCCGAATCTAATCCCGGCTCACGTATCCATTTAACATTAATTTTGATATTCGCGAGGCGTGCGCGGCAACTCGCGAATAAATTAGAGAACAAGTTCCGCGCGCGCGCGGGAATTTGTGCGAGTAGTTTCTCTATTTTCCGGCTACCCCGGGCCCCGCGGCTCGTTTGCACAACACGATCAGTAAAAGAGAACATTCTGCCGCGGAGGCACGTTCATGCAGCCATTTTAACAAATTGTTTTTCCCGGCGGGCCGGCCGGGACGAGGGAACCGGGGCTGTGACGAACGGGCCACGTGTAAAAAGCCTTGCATTATTTCGACCTTCCGTTCGATAAATTCCAAGTGGCTATCTTACCGCCGACCGACATTCAATATGTACTTCCGGGTCTTATTAATGCTGCAGGATACTGTTTGCTTCGCCGGCTTCTACGAATTTCATTTTTCATTTAGAGCTTCGGTTTATCGACGGTGAGACGGAGGGGAGGGGGAAGGTCTCCCGGAGACGAAAAATGTTGGATTTCAAAGGGACCGGATTTTCGTCGCGATGAAATAAACCGGGGAACGATAACTCTGTGTTAGTAGAACGTGTATCGAAAGTATACAATCGGTAGTACCAGTCATTCTGTATATAGGGTGTTTCTTTTCTCCTGCCAATGAAATATTTCTGTTATTTTTGCTGACACGAAAAGGTGCGACGCAACAAATATGTTTGGTCCAAATCTACGAATATTATGATTCGCGTGATCTTTCTCTCGAGGTCATTTTTTTTTAAGTTTTGAAAGTAGCCGCTATTTTTAACGTTTTAATAACGCTTTAACCATTTAATGTTTTATGGCCTGGCGCGTTTTGTCCATCAGTAACAAAACTTCAAAACTAATACTTTTTCGTTGCAAATAATCTCCGACCTCCGGTACAAAACAGTTGTAAAACCAATTTCGAAACATGTCGCAGGTAATCCATGCTTCTTCATTGGCTCGTCAGTGATACAGTAAATTCTACGTAATTGACGCTCAGCTTGGAAATAAAAATGGACTATTTGGGAAGAGGATACGAGTACGATTATTCGAGCCACGCGGCTCGTTTTTATAGTTACAGATTGTCAACAACTCAATTAATATTAATAATATGAATTATATAAATTTATATAATTAATATTATTAATATTAATTGAGTTTTAATATATATAATATTATATAATATATAATATAATATATAATATATAATATTAATTGAGTTTTATAGTTGTTGACAATCTGTATATATATTAATTATATAAATAATAATATTATTTATCAATTAATATTAACATTAAACTCGATAAATCGTACTTCCTCTTCCAAAATTGTCCATTTTTGTTTTTCAAGTTAAGCGTCAGTTGGGGAGAATTTACCGTATATGTTTGGAAACTTGAGCGAAAAATTTCAATTCAGGCATCGTAACGCGCGTCGATCGGGTCCCCGATAGAACGAAAATCCTGACGAGATTTCAGAAAAGAATTGCACGACAATAAATCTGGACTAATTTGAAACCTCGAAGCCTCTGTTTGTCTCTAAAAACATTGGACAATTTTTTCGGGCCTGACTATACACATGCATATACATTTGTAGATTGCAGCATCCCTTTCAAGGGGACACGGCTGTTGGTACACGGCTCTTTTTTGTTGTTTTCCTGAAAGAGGCTCGCCGCGCCATCTTTACAATGGCATGAACTCGAAAAGGGTACTCACTGGGATGCTCGGGCTCGGTGTTGTTCGCATCTTCTTGAGCAGTGGTCGGTTTTTTCGGCTGTGCGCTGGCAAAGGTCGATACCTCGATGCACGTCACTGCGATCAATATCCACAGCATACTGACGAACGTCTCTTGACAACTTCACCCTCAAACCATCCTAACGACGGACTTTCGCGTCTTGTTCTCGGGACAAGGATCGGTCTGTAACTGTAAAAACGGAACGAGCGCATTAGCGTCGATAGATTTTTTAAAGAATGTCGAGGCAAGGTGACCCCTTAAGAGACATTCGAGAATTAAAGCTGAAACTCCTATGTAACGCAGCGTTCTCTTTTGTTTAACTCTCCGCTGTCACGATTTTTCTGCGAAATATAATATAATTGAAACATAGTTTCTTTTATTAGAACGCGATATCTCACTTCCAAGTACGTTTAATTAATAGTTAATATGTTAATTGTGTCACGCCAGTGTCCACGAAAGATACACAAAGACAGAACAACTTAATTAGCTAATATTAACTATGTTAGTATAATGATCGAACATGCAGATAAGAGAGTATCGAACGGCCGATTGTAGTTATTGTTCATAACAAAATGCTAACTCAGATTAGGCTACATCGGCGATTTCGGGAGCCGATCGCCTACAAAAATATGTCAATAATAAATATATATTAATATACATATAACATATATATATATTAATAAAAAATATTATATATATATATAATATTTAAATATAAATATACAATATTTAATATAATACTATATTATATGTATATAATATTATATTATATACAATATTATAATATAATATTATATATTGAATATAAATAAATTGAAATGAATCAATGGCGCAGCTTAATGAATTATTCTGTATACAAATTCTGGCAATAGTATCAAAGAATGAATAGTATCAAAAATAACAAAAAAATTAATTGTTGCCGTGCATGCTGCACTTTATACCAAACAACTTTTGTTCGAAACATATAGTTTACAAGAGAGAATTAAAGTAAAGGAGTTAAATGTCTCACGTTGCATAAAAGATCCTAATAGACTTTGGCATACTTAATAAATTGTAAGAAAAATTGATAAAAGAATTCTGTCGGTCGCATATGCGAACGAGATGGCCCACGCGGCAGTCAACGCGTTAATTATGTTCTTCTCGTTACAATATCATCGCCTAATGTCCCAGATTTTATCACCCTATCGAGAAATAAAATCTGGGACAGTTTCGCCGAGTGTGACAGCGGAGTGTCGATGAAAAACTAAAGAAATATGTAAAATAAAATGGCGTACAGAACAGTCGATTTGGACACGATTAAATTTTAGCGAATGCCATCGAGCAACAAGCGTGCGAACTCGTGACTGTCACGGGCTAGTCACTTAAGGGGTTAAACCGGGAAGCATTTTACAGCAGGGTCTCGTAATTCGCCAACGCGCGTCGAGTAGGACGAAATTACATTACGGTAAAACTCCGTTTACATATTCAGACGTTACGGACACGGGACATTGTTCACATAACGGCAGCTCGCTAATTGTCTTCTCCGGCCGGCTTTGATGAGTTCGCACGATTGAAAAGTGCTCTTCAGATAATTGCAGAACAAATAAACGGCGTTCATTCCACTGCAGAAATCGATAATGAAATAATTATTTCACGAAATATGATTAATCCAGCGTCGAACCGCAAGCGATATTAAATCTCATCGAACAACGTATTTTATTGTATTTCCCCGAGATCGTATTTGCCAGGGATGCAGAAAAATCCACGGTCTAATAATCTTCTATTGTTAAACGAGCGTTCGCAAGTTCTCTCTTCCCTTGAACGGCGGTTTATCCAGCTTTTTCAATCTTCATAATTCATCTTTTTGTGGTTGGTGAGGAAGAGGGGGGGGGGGAGGAGAGGAAGAGCACGTTTTAATAGGGAATAAACCCGTTCCGGATTATGGCCGGCCACCGCGCAGGGAACTCGACATTAGAATTCGATCCGAATGCTGGGACAAGAAACGGAAAGGCTCGAGTCGAGCCGATAACCGGGCGGTCCAAGATGTCGCCGTGAAAATGAAATTATTTCAAATCGAGTTTCATACGCTCGGTTTCACCGTCCGCTGCTGTCCCTGCACCTGCACAACCATCTTTAAGCGTTTATTTCATGTCGGAAATTCGGCAAGATACGATTTTTGGCTACTTCTTTTGGGCACGCCGGAAAATTCACGTTGTAAACATTGTTCTACAAGTAAAAAATAAGACTGAAATGTTATACAACAAAAAGTCCGCAAATGCTTCGTTAAGAATTTATGACGAGAATACAAAATATGATTTAAACGTCGCAAAACGAGCGAAGGATTTCCCATGGTTTCTAAGTATTTTATGGGGATATTTCTACAGATCACGATAAAAAATAAAATTCCGATTTTCTAAAAGAATTATGGCACAGAAAAACGATTCCTCTTGTAAGCGTTTCTTTCCGATTAAATGCGAAGTATTTTGTCCGATGCAAGAGCACCGAAAATAGAACAATGTCGATATATGTGTACAAACGTCTCTTGTTTTTATAAACGAGCGTAGATATTGTTACGATCGACTAACAATGTGAAGAACATAAAAGAAGAATGAATAAATTCAGCGAACATAACACATGCATCGTATGGCAATTTTTGTACAACGTACAGTGGGCAAAAAAGGTATTCGCACATCTTTCAAAAACGGAATAACTTTTTTTATGAATGGGCCGACCGATCTGAATTTTTTGTGGGGATGTTAGAAGGATTAGTTTACTAAACAATGGTTAAAAAATTATTTTGGAAAATTGCAATTTGTGGACACGATAAAAGAATTTTAAAATACTGTTTTCCCAACTTTTTTATTAGTCTCCGTAACGAAAATTTAAGAAGCGCATTGCGTAGATCTCGATAAATTATATGCTTGCTGAAAATTTCATCGATCATTCTATGTACAGCAAATTCTCCCTAATTAACGCTCAGATTCTACACAAAAATAGTTAATTTGGGAAGAGGAGATACGATTATTCGAGCCTTGCATGTAATGTCGCATGTAATCCATGCTTCTTGATTGGCTCGTCAATGATACAGTAAATTCTCCCTAATTGACGCCCAGCTTGGAAATAAAAATGGACAATTTGGGAAGAGTCAACAATTATAAATACGAGATCCAAGGCTCGAATAATCGTATCTTCTCTTTCCAAATTATCCATTTTTGTGCAGAATCTGCGCGTCAATTAGAGATTATTTACTATAATAGTAACATTTAAAAACAGCATTCTAGTTATGATCTAGTAGACTGGTCCCTCTATCACCAAAAAAGAATTCAAGTGGTTTAATCCAGTTCTACAAAATGTTATCGCGTTTTGAAAAGTGTCCGAGTATTAACGGGCGTCGAGAAAAACGACTACCAGTTCCCATGGTAAACAACCCGCACCATACACCCCGTCTATGGAATGATATCCCGCAAGCCGTCGGTGAAAAAAAATGAGGTTCGCGCGGCGTCGATACCGTATTCCGATATGACGGCTGTTTCTTCGGTTCGCCCCCGGCCACGGCGGCCGCACACAGTGCAGAATTTCATTTCCTGTAACCAAAAACAAACCCGACAGATGATAGCGGAAACAAAGTTACACGCGCGCGCGCAACGGGTAGATAGAGTCTGCTCGCAATTCGATACCGGCTGGCCCGGGAAAAGAGGGTTATCGAAATTTCTGGCCTCGCCCGCCAGGAAACAATTCATCCGGGACCGTAATTTCCTTCCGGCCGGCTACGGCGCTCACATGGAAACAGAAAAGTGTCGGGGCTCTCACGGATTAGATAAGAGGCGAGGTATACCGGACCGATGGCCGGAGAAACGTCTTTCGACGTTGCGGCGCCAAACGGTCAAAAAATCGAATTCCTTTTGCCGGCCGGCCAAACCAATTTTCCTCGGCGAACTTTACCTCGACGAGTATTACTCGAGAAATTTCCGATAAAAGTGCTTATCGAAATTCTCGGCGCTACGTCGGCCATGCCGGAATATGTATGCAAAATACATACCGCGCCGGCGCGACTGCGAGCTCGTGGTAAATAAATTCGCAATGATAAGATGCCCGCGCTAAAGATAAGACGAGAAGCGAATACGTGGACGATCTTTGAGAATTTCTCTCTCGAAAACGGGCAAACGTGTCGCCTTTTTCACGCGACACTTTCATTTTGAATGGCTGTACACCTGACACTAAATGCACGCGAATTTCCGTTCGATGAGGATTTGGTCGCGGAAATCGAGTCTGCAAATAGAAAATAAAATGTATTGGAAATTGATGTTGGTATAATAAAAATAGCTTAATAAAAAAGTGATTATGACATTTTACAAAAGAAAAGTCAATTTTATTTGTTATATGTCATTATTGCTACTGTGATTTGAAACAATCAAGCTTTTGTTTTTAATTGGCATAAGTTTTTGGTTGTACATATTTGTTTTCATACACCTTAATAAAAAAAAAATGATTATGACATTTTAAAAAAGAAAAGTCAATTTATCACTTATATCAATGTATCACTGTCGCTACTGTAATTCAAAATAATTAAGCTTTTCTTTTTAATTGGCGTAAGTTCTGGAATGAACATATTTATTTCATACAGTTTAATAAAAAAAATATGATTATGACATTTCAGAAAAGAAAAGTTAATTTACTGTAACTTTTAATTCATAAAAATTCATCATCTTTGATCGCTTGAAATATTCGGAAGTTCGACTCCGTTTTCATTGCCATTGTATATTATAAATTTCTTCGGACAATTTTTTCTCAATCTTTTCTTTTATTAAGTTCGTATATTTGCTGCAACGTTTCGTTAAATTTTGTCGAAATATTTTAGCTAATATTTTAGCTAATTCAAGACCCTCGCAAAGATTTACTGGCTTGAAAAATTCGGATCGTACAAATTGACAACGGGTATAAAATAAACCGCGTAAATAGTGTTCAAATTAGACAACGACTCTTTATGCAAAACATAAACGTTCCTTATCGATTACGTAAACTACGAATGCGATAAAAATATATATATATACTCATTTAACGATGTCGATACATTGGCACCAATGCGACAGTACTTGTGAATTCCTTTTTGTGCCATCACTGTTCCGTGTATCGTTCATCAAATTTTCCTATAAATAAATCCATCAAATCCGCGGCCCAGTTATAATTTAACCGCGTGAGAATAGACTCGC